TTTTCAGGTTAAAACATGTCAAACTCACAAAACGCGCCCGTGCACAGTGATGATGATCTTGGATTTCATAGGAAAAATGAAAATGTAGCTGAGCCGGTGTACTCCGATTAACCCTGGAGAAGTGCCAAATGTGGAACCAGTCGATATTAGTTCACACATTGCTTTAAATACGAATTTAGGCGCAGACCCCGGGGGAAGTGCGCGTAGGGAAGTCAGATCTGGTGGCCAAGGAACACAGGGTACATGAGACGGGGGAATCAGCCTCCAAGTATTATTTGAGATGCTACAAGCTCAACAAATTGCCATCGCTCAACTTCAAAGTTAGAATAAAACTCCAAGTGTGGTCGAACCAGGGAACACTCGACGTACTTAGCCGGTGCCAGAGAGATCAGTAATGGCTCGGGGACTGACCCCACAATTATGAGGATGCTCAAGGAACTCACCAAGATAATCGAGTCCGGGGAGAAGAAGATTGAGGATAATGACAAAAAAGTGGAGACTTATAACTCCCGCGTTGATCAAATACCGGGGCACCCCCGATATTAGAAGGACAAGATTCTAAAAGGTTTGTGCAAAGACCCTTCCCCCTAGTGCGACTCCGAAGCCAATCCCCAAGAAGTTTCGTGTGCCCGAGATTCCCAAGTATAATGGGACGACCGATCCGAATGAACACATCACCTCGTATACGTGCGCCATCAAAGGAAACGACTTGAAAGATGACAAAATTGAATCTGTACTGCTGAAGAAGTTCGGGGAGACTCTATCCAAGGGTGCCTTGATATGGTATACAACTGACCCCCTAATTCTATTGATTCATTTGCTATGCTTGTAGATTTTTTTGTAAAAGCACACACCGGAGCCATTAAAATTACAACGAGGAAGTCGGACCTTTTCAAGGTAATGTAGAAAGATAACGAGATGCTCAGAGAATTTGTATCTCGGTTCCCAGAAGGGAGAATGGATTTGCCTTCAGTTACCGATGATTGAGCAGTTCAAGCTTTCACTTAAGGTGTCAACACTCAGAGTTCTATAGCTTCACATCAGTTGAAGCAAAGTTTACTCGAGTACCCAGCTGTCACTTGGGCCGACGTACATAATTGGTACCAGTCGAAGATTAGAGTCGAGGATGATCAACTAGGGACTCCTTCGGGATCCATTTATCCTAGCAGGCCCATGGGTAGGATCAAAGGAGACGTCGATCGAGAGTCGAGGTCGAATAGAGATCGATATCAGCCATATAACGCATACCGTATAGTAGCGGGTATGGGCAAAGCTTTGCACGAAATGAGAGGAGAAATGATCGAGGTCAAAATTCACGGGGGCTCGATGCCGAGGAAACTCACGTTAAATATCCAACATCCGAATAAAGTTACGACCCCAGTCCAATACTTTCTATTTTTTTGACTAACACTTGCAGGTTTTCGACAAGGATCGACATGAAGCTTTGGACCTTAAAGCATGCATTGCACTCTTTTCCCTTAGACCGGTTTTTGTCCCAAATGGGTTTTTCTGGCGAGATTTTTAACGAGGCAACCATTGTCATGTTAACTTAGAGCAATTCAACGGTATTCGAGGTTCCCTATAACAAGCCTCGAGTACTGAAGGGCATTGCCCTCGAATGTTTACTTTGTTTCAAGGGAATCACTTCAGGACATCGGGTCTCGATGGGAAAATTTTGTAATGGGCTAAATGGTCAGATGAACCATGTCCGTATAGAATAGTCGAGCCCCAATGGCAAAACATATACGCATGTATCAATTATCCAAAGAAGCATTCTTTCTATATCAAAACATTTTGTGTATCAAAGAAACTTGCTACTATACGAACATCATACTTGTGATTCCACGAGAAACGGCTCAAGGGCCAAAATGCAAATACACCTCGAATACTCGGGGACTGTCATCGACAGCCAACGCATTCGAGTATCTAAACTCGAATTTATAAGACCTCAAAGAGGCATCCCTCAACTCAAAGGCCAAGGCCATCATACTCGGGGACTAACCTTTCGGACAAGTTCGATAGGTTATTGGGAAAAAAGTCCAAGAGACATACCCGAAGGCTACGACCATATTAAAGGCTACAACCATATTAAAGACTACAGTAAAATTAAAGGCTACAGCCATATTAAAGACTATGGTCATATTAAAGACTACGGTCATATAAAAGGCTACGGCCGAAATAATACGGCTCGGAGATGTCCGACTTCCGCCATAAATTAAAGGCCTTCAAATACTTTGAAAAACCGGTTAAACTCGGCTACCCTCGGCAAAAGCAAAAAGGGCTTCGATAAAATCAGCCTTCGAATAATTTAAAGGCTTCGATAACATCAGCCTTCAGAAAAGCCTCAAGGGGTATTAACACGAACGGGTTCTGGTTGATTGAACCCTCAAAAAACCCAACGGGTACAAAAAACACATGCTAAGGCATAAAGAAATTTTCACTAAGTCTTTTAGCCGAAAAGAGGGAAAAATTATAGCCGTCTTAGAGGCCGAATTGGCCCAACTTAAAGAGCCTAAGGGTTGATCTAAAAGAGCCTAAGGGCCAATATAAAAAATCCTATGGGCTAACTCTATTTCGAGTTCGAGCAAATCCTTAGGCCTTATCGCAAGAGTTCCTCGCAAGGGCCGATCAACCTCAAAAGCAATAAATTACTAAGAGCAAGAAACCTAATCAGCATGGTCCTTATCGGCAGAAGTGTCTTCGCCTTCAGAATCTTCCCCGACACCGGACTCGCCAAAAGTTCTTGGAGTTTTCCTTGGGAAAGGCCAGCTTCCAAGCTTTCATTTCCTCAATCGTTTGTGTCACGATGATGATCTCGTGGCAAATCGGGGTAAAAATCAAGGACTCAATTCGTTTCTTGTCATTATACTCTAAGAAATGCGGGGACTATCTGTATACGGTAAAAATCGGGGCTACCCGATTTCGTGAGCTCGAGGGTCACTTCGAGAGCGAGATCGAAATAGACTAAGAGCGAGCCCGATGGGAGGCTTCGAAGATTAAAGTGTTCGATAAACATCGAGGCCGAACATGAACGGCCTTGAGATAATGCCGTTACAAGTTTGTAACAGAATGAGCAAGATTCCCGCTAAGTTCCCAAGATCATGGCGTAAATTTCGGAATAGATTTGTACGAATTAGTACAAATCTGTACTAGGCGGTTATACAGCTGTCCCAATAAGATTCCTTACTGTAAATAGAAATGTACCTTATTTAGGATTCCCCCATTATATAAAGGGGACCCCAATCATTTGTAAACATCATCTAATCATTGGCAAAAAATATACTCTCTACTTTTCGCTCACTGTTCATCAGAATTGTCCTTTAGCTTTATTATTCTTGCTTTATTGTTCTTGACCAATCTCGAGGCCCCTTTGGCTCGAGTCAACACTGCCTAGCAACACTGGTTTGATTTACTCATTTCTTCCATTTATACATTATATTTCTTGAATATTAATTGGTATTGAATTAAATCACGTATCTTTAAAACCACAAATCAAATTTAATTGTTACTCGTATTTTTGAGGTAAACAATATGATAAAATTATTGGACTTGAACTCAATGAAATACAATCAACTGTTCATTGGGACTTCTTTTATTTTTGCCATTAAAGTAAAAAGCAATAAAATTACATATTATAACTTATTAAGAAAAACAAAATTATTGGTTCATTTCACCTTAATCAAAATCAGGTTCGAAATTAGGTTGTCAACGTTAATGATCAATTAGTTTTGAGGAGGCATTTGCATCTATACCCGTTTTTTGGGTCACGTTTTAACTTGTGCCCGCTTTGCAAAAAAAATTGCAAGCGTATCGACTTTTTTGTGTAACTTCAGCATAGGGGCTGAAGTAGCAAAGGCAATCACGCAAAACTTTAGCATTCTAGTAGATGGGACTGAAGTAGCAAGTTTTTATTTTTGTAACTGGCGAACTTCAGCTCTAGAGCTGAAATTTTTGTTTTGTAACTGGAGAACTTCAGCTTTGTTTGTAACTGGCGAACTTCAGCTCTAGAGCTGAAATTTTTGTTTTGTAACTGGAGAACTTCAGCTTTGTTTGTAACTGGCGAACTTCAGCTCTAGAGCTGAAATTTTTGTTTTGTAACTGGAGAACTTCAGCTTTGTTTGTAACTGGCGAACTTCAGCTCTAGAGCTGAAATTTTTGTTTTGTAACTGGAGAACTTCAGCTTTGTTTGTAACTGGCGAACTTCAGCTCTAGAGCTGAAATTTTTCTGATTTGCTCTTGTCTCACGCATGAAAAATAGGAAACAAAGCCGAAGAGATTTCATCATGGTGATTAGTTTCCAGTCTGCTAGATTTGAGGGAGAACATAGGTTAATAGACAAGAAAAGGGTCTTAAAAAATAACAGCCAAATGTTTTAACATTTCAATGTTAAAACAGCCGAGCTTCCAACTATTACCATCAAATCTACAAAAAAAAAAGAATGACTTTGGAGAAAATCAAGTTGCATTAATTTTACAATACACAAAGCTTAATTAGTGTCACCGTCAGCCATAATATAACCACAAGACTTATCGTAACAAGGACATTAAAAGATACTTCATTCTTTTCTTGACAAAATTTCAACTAGAATTGAGGAAAACAAAACTATTCCGTTTAATAACACAGTCCACCCTTCTTACTAATAGAAAACGAAGTTGTTTTAAAAAAAAGAAAAAGAAAACGAAGGAGAAGAAGGAGGAGGAGAAATGGGCCTGAAGTTGTTTAAAAAGTGGATACAAGTTAAAACTTTTTTAAAAAATGGGTATAGGTTAAATGGGGGCGATCAAATAGGGTGCCCCATGCAATTTTTACGTTTTGAGGGCAAAATGATTCTTTTTTTTTTTTTATGGCAAGGACCTATTTGGTACCAAAAATAAATGAAGACTAAAACTGCTCTATTTTCCATAGTTTAAGGGCAAATTTGGCATTTTCTATTTAATTTTGATATAAAGTAAAAAAGAAAAAAAGAAGGAGAAAAAGAAAAAAGAGAAAAGTACTGTGACCGGGTCGGCGACCTTTTAGGAAGAGAGTGGAAAATAAGAAATAGGAAAAAGGGAAAGTTGTTAATCTCAAAAATCATCACTGCTCTCTGTCGCAGTTGCGAAGCGAAACCCTAGGCTGATAACGAGCTCACCCAAAGAGGAGAAGATGCTGAGGATAGCTGGGAGGAGGGCTTCGTCTCTGTCGCGATGGCCCGTGCGTTCCGTCGCTCCATCTTCATCCGCTTTCATCTCTGCAAATCATTTCAGTTCTGATGACGATTCCTCTTCCCCCAGATCCATTTCTCCTTCTCTCGCTTCTGTGTTTCTCCACCATACGAGAGGTCTGTTTTTTCTTTTCATTCAATTATTTAGTCTGATCCTAAAATACGATAGTTGCTAATTATGCGCAATATTTGATATTTGTAGCTAATTTCTTCTATAAGGAAATGATAGCTTAGTTCTAATGCAATTTTTATGTTCCACTTTCCATATGGTATATTTTGCTGGTATCACCATAGACTTTTATGTTACGAGTTTTTGGCTAAAAACATCCTTATACTATTGCTCAAACTTAAACTTCATCCTTTATATGTCCAACTGAACAAAAAACATCCTTAATGTTTGTGAAAATGTGCAAAATACATTCTACCGTTAGTCAAGGTCTCAAAACTAACGGCAGATCATATAACCCATATTCTTCCCCCTGGATTTTTATATAGTACATGTTGCTTGGAGATTATATGGATGGTTATTTAGGTTGCTTTGTTGTTAGATAAAGTCCTACAATAGAAATCAAAAAGAAAGATGAAAAAAGTAAAAAAAGGGTACCCAGTCCACGAAGAAAACTTTTGCAGTGTTTAGTGTCTCTTTCTACCTTATCCATTCTTGTAGAAGACTATGCAGTACAGAGAGAAAGCTGATTGAGCACTTTTAAATAGCCTATTTGCTTATGATTGAGTTCAGATAGGCCATTTAAGTATGCTCGTAACCCAGGTTGAATCCAGTTGTACTTATAAAAATGAATGGTGAAGTTTTCAAAAAAATATTGTGCGCGATAAGCACTTGAAAGAAGAATGCTTTGTTTGTACTTGATCAGGAAGTTAACTGAAGTGAATTCCTGGCAAAAATCATAGGGAAAATGGCACTGTATAGCCGCTCTCAAAATAATAGCCGAAATATATATATTTTTTGTACAAATATTACAAGAATTTTATATACTTTTTCGACTACCGAATGTAAATAATTTCTGACGTGGGCTAAAAGTAATAATATCCCAAAATCATACAGGATACGGATGAGGAGTACGATACTTTATTGAAATCTGTTAGTCATGAGAGTTCTCTGAACTTAGATGCGAAGAAACTACTAAAAAAATATTTTGGCCCATTAATTGTAAAATCAGTACAACTATTTGGCCATAGAATAACTTTTTTTCCTACTTCCTTTTGATTGTTAATTTGATGGGCATACATCAGGTCCATCTCTTTGGCCCTGTTATTGATATGAGGATATGTATCAATTCGATGGTTTGGAATTGGAGTGATTTATTATACCAAAATGGAGTACTTAAGGAAGAATACTGGATGTTGATAATCTGTAAGCAGCATGTGCTGTTTAAAAACAGGGCAGAAGATGGATTTTATATTCTGCCGTTAGTTTTGGAACTTTGACTAACAGTAGAATGTATTTTGCCCATTTTCTCAAACTTTAAGGATGTTTTCTGTTCAGTTAGATATATAAAGGATAAAGTTTAAGTTTGATGGATAGTATAAGGATGTTTTTAGCCAAAAACTCTTTATGTTACAGTAGCCGCAAGTGGGATCCCACTTTCTATCTGGTCCCACTGTAGTCTTATTTGATTTGTGTTTGCATCTTGCAACATCCATAAGGCACGTCTGTCTGGTTCGTTTAGTTTCACGGGGATCTCTCATTAATGTTCACTGTCGCTCTTTTTGTTTTTCTTTTTTCACGGGATAGCAGTGTGCCCGGGCCAAATTGGATGCACCTCAGCTATTTAAATTTAATGGAGTATCTGCTATCTCATACCATTGCAAATGTTGAGTAATTCTGTCCATTAAGGCTTAGACTGATGGAAGAACTTGTCTTCCATATCCAATTCCAGTTTCGTTGACAGCTAGGCCACACCTGCGGTAGCTATTTATTGTATCATTCTTAACTAGCCACTGCAGTTATAGTTATTAGTCTCTTACGAGGATAGCAGTGTGTTTGTTTCTTTGTGTTTCTACAATCATTGCTGTGCTTGCTTACTTTGGGTACGATATATAGGTTGAACTTATTGGTTGCACTATTCTAGACCTCACCAGAGACTTAAGATGGAGGCAAAGTTTGTATAATTTGAGTTGTCTAACGAGACACTTCTAGTTTATCTTACCCGATGAATTTATATTGGCAAGCTTCAACTGCTTTGCAGTTTCAATTGTACAATTTATTAGCTCATTGTACGCCTACAGTTAACTATATCTCCTGCTTCGAAATGTTAAAAAAATATTTATGAACAAGGGAAAACTGAGTTCTAATTCTTCTATCACTGCAACAACAAGCATCTTATCTTAAATGTTGGTCTTTGTGGGGTGGAGTTGATGAGTTACGAAGTGTCCTCTGCCCTAAGTCTGATTTGGATCTTGTGAATAATAGCGCCTCGTAAGGTATTGGAAGAAAATTGTCATGTCATTTGTTTTAATTACATGCAAACATTCGAGGTGGATATTGTGCGGGAAATCCATGTAATGGGAACTAGTTGGCTGAGATAGTTAGCTATTAGTGTCTGAACGATGAGCTTATTAATCTTCTGATGTTGGCTTGATGTCATTTTGCTGATTTGGCTTTATCCATGATAAATTTTGGAAGTTGCTGGGGTTTGGCATCTGTTACTTCTAACAGCTTTTCAATTATTTCAGGGTTTTCATCTAATTCAGTTTCTCATGCACATGATATGGGTTTAGTCCCAGATCTTCCACCCACAGTGGCTGCTATTAAGAATCCCACATCAAAAATTGTTTATGATGAACACAACCATGAGCGGTATCCACCTGGTGATCCAAGCAAACGTGCATTTGCCTACTTTGTCTTGACAGGAGGTAGGTTTGTCTATGCCTCATTGGTGCGTCTCCTGATTCTTAAGTTTGTTTTGAGCATGTCTGCCAGTAAGGATGTTCTTGCCCTTGCTTCACTTGAAGTGGATCTCTCCAGCATTGAACCTGGTACAACTGTTACTGTAAAGTGGCGTGGCAAACCTGTTTTCATCAGGCGCCGAACTGAGGACGACATCAATTTGGCAAACAGTGTTGATCTTGGCTCCCTTCGCGATCCACAACAGGATGCAGAGAGGGTTAAGAGTCCAGAATGGCTTGTGGTTATTGGGGTATGCACCCATCTTGGGTGCATTCCTTTGCCAAATGCCGGTGATTTTGGTGGTTGGTTTTGCCCTTGCCACGGCTCCCATTATGACATCTCTGGTAGGATCCGCAAGGGACCTGCACCATATAATCTGGAGGTGCCTACTTATAGTTTCCTGGAAGAGAACAAGTTACTTATTGGTTAAGTAGGTAAAAAGGCTGTACTTGTGGGAAATTGTAGCTGCTGGAACCAAAATATGATCTTGACGAAAACCATATACACATTTCTTTAATTCCTTATGTTCTACTTTGTGAGCTATGATTTTGGATTTGTAATTGCCCACCAGTTCTGGGTAGATCATGGATTTTTGTGCGAATAATTTTGCTGGCTGCTTGCTAAGCATTTTCCAGATTTGCTGGCAATTTGTATTCTATTTTTTAATATAAATTCTCTTGGCACGAGTCCTGTTTGTGATTTATGAGGTGTATTAATTTATCTTCTGGAGATGTCTTCTTTGGTGCGCTCTAGTTAGTCTGCCTCTCTGGTATGTGTGGTGGTATTCATCAGTGCAAACTGGACATTAAGCGCAGATGTGACATGCTGCATATCTTTGCCGGGTGGAGTTGATGCAGACTGCAGGTTGCTGCTAAGAGGGTACTAAGCAGCTCGCGTTAAAGTGCAAATTTTAGAAAGAAAACCACTACGTGAGATCTTTCTATAAGCAGTTTCTTGAAGCTAGATGCGCCTTCTGGAATTACCTTCTTTTTTTCAGTTCTCCTTTTCCGCGTCTTAAGAAATAGAAGTCTCTCCGTGAGAGGCTGTATCCACTACCGTATCAAAAGCAAATATCATCACACAAGTTGAACAAACACTGCTGTATCAAATACCAATAGTTCTTGTAAAATCAAAAAATGGATAGAGATACCTGCCTCCAACTTAACTCGGAGCTTAAATAAGGACAGTTTGAACACGCTTGTTTATTCCACAGAGTTTAATCCCCTGAAGCTTTAAAGGAATGCAAAGCAATGTCCATGAGAAAGTGGCTTCCTATCACCCGAATTTTCAATGTGGCTGGTTTAGAGTTTGGTATTTTATCATTTAGTGGTCGTTTGGTTTGAAGACAAATTATGCTGAGATTAGTTATGCTAGGAGTAGTTATACTAAGATTAATTATATTGGAATTAGTTATACTAGTATTATTTCTTATTGACTGTTTCATATGTTATGTTAAGGGAAAAGGTCCAAATTGACCCTTGTACCTTGTAAAAATATTTAGATTTTGCCCTCCGTCAGAAGTTTAGTTAAGATATACCCTTGCCGTTAAACTTTTGGGCTAAAAATAACCATATTTGCTAACGGGCATATGTTTGGAGCTAATTCTGCTAATTTGGCTTTTTAAATTCTCACCCATTTATTAATAATTTGATTTAGCACCAAAACTCCCCATGTGTCAAACTTATCTTTCTAACCTTATTCATTTCTCATCCCGAATCATGGCAGTTATAAAATGCAACTCGAATGTAATCCCATTTCATGCAAATCCATGGACAGCCTACATAAATCATTTTGTACCGCCAATCTCTATTACGAAACTCACTTCTCCCACAAAGTTCCCTGTTGGTGCTAGAGTTGAATTTGGAAATTTTGTCGTGTTTGTTCTTCCTATTTGGGTTGAAAGTTTGGAAATTTAGTTTTTTTTTTTTTAATTTTAGAAATTTAGCTGCTTGTGATTGATTTACGTTGCTTGTTGAGCTTCTTCTATGTTTTTCACTTTGGGTGCCTGCTCTAGTCCCAAAATAGAGGTGAATTCTTTTTGGTTATTTCAGTTCAATTCTTAACAACTTCTTTTCATTATTTGGCTTGTGCCCATTTATCTTTCCTTACACTCATCGCCATTTCCAAAAAGGAAGAATTACTGTGATTTTTGTATGCTTGTTTTGTGAAAAAAAATGTGGATGGAATTTGAAGGTGGAAGAATGAGATTTCACCGAAGCTGAAAAACAATGCGGGTTTTGCGACTGTTCAATGGTGGTGCTATAGTAACAAAATGGTGAGGAAAATCAGGAAGGCCACGAGTTTTCTTCTCTCTTTTGTGAGAGTGAGTAACCAATTTCTTAACCAGGTCAAATGGAGAGGGTTAAATGGGTGTGAGTTAAAATGTCACGTATGCAGCACTGGTGCTAATCAGCTAAATTAGCTAATCACATAAGTGGATCTAACCCCTTTGTGTCCGACCCTTCACCAAACCTTGTGTGAACACGAGATGCTTCGTGCATAGGGCTGTCCGACCCTTCACCAAACCTTGTGTGAACACGAGATGCTTCGTGCATAGGGCTGTCCGACCCTTCACCAAACCTTGTGTGAACACGAGATGCTTCGTCCATAGGGCTGCTTGTTACTTATTTAATTTATAAGTGGGTCGAACCAGTAACCAGGAACAAATCCATCACTAGTTAGTTTAAACACCAAAGTTAGATAGGTTATAAACAGGCACAGGTCCATCAGTGGTTAGTTTAAAGCCGGTATCAGACTATCGCGAAAAACAGTAGAATCCAAAAGCTGGACAACTCACTTCAGACTGATTAAAGTAGGTTCTATCCTCATATGTATAAGCAGCAGCATCTTTTGTATCGTAGCAAAAGAAGCCTACTCCTTCCAATCCACAAGCATATAAAGCAGGAAAAGTCGAGAAAGGAAGGGTTGATGTAGGAAATATGTATGATTTGACTGGGCTAGATGTTATCTCAAAGAGAGATTTCTAGTAACTTGAGATTTTTAGTTCCCAAATTTTCTGAAGAGATAATCAATTGAATCTTTTTTGGATTAAGCATCAGGCAAATGCTGCTTCCTTTTACAGCGTGCGGTAGCCAATGGTGGAGCTAAGTAGAGGAAAAATGAATTCCTGGTTCCTCCGCTATTACTAGCAAGTTAATAATTTCAAGTTGATTCCTTGAAAAACATCAAATGTAGGAAATGGGCAAATTGTATTAAAGACCAACTAACTAAAATTAGGAATTGTATTCAAGGGGAAAGTAGTGCTAGACTGTAGGTCCAAGGTGATCTGTTCCCTTTATTTCTATGTAAAGTACGTATAATTCTTGCCCTAGAATGTTGTGATGCCAAGAGTAATTGTTCAATAAACATTCCTAAGTAAAGAATTGGGAAGCAGACCTTAGTGGAGGGATCTTCTTTCTCGACAAGGGCTCTCATGATTCCGACTTTACTACGCTCAATCTCTTCAGTTTCCTTATTGCAGTTGTTGTCAGAGGCATCGGTTTCAGCATCGTACGGAAACTCATCTTTGGCATTCTGGGACTGTGTTGATTCCACGGAACCAAAAGCATTTTGGAATTTTTTGCGCAAATACGAGCTCATTTCTCTCTATCTCTCTCTCACTTGATGAGAAAGAAAGAGAAGCAGAGCTAAGTATAAGTACCAGTTAATCAACGCGCTATTTGTTCATTTCATTTTTGTTGAAGCACCAGAATTAGGCCACAAGTCAAAGTTAGAGAGGCTTGTTGTCTGTTCACCAATATTCAATTCCTAAACCCGTTACTGGTTTACTGTTGCGGGCTATTATAATTTTATGTAAGCAAGAGCACACCTTTCCCTTATCTTTTTAGGTTAGTACTTAGTACTTTAAAAAGGAAAAGTCATTTTATTTACTGTTGCTCTTGTCACATTGAGCCATACGTACAGCAGAAAAAGCGGTTCCATTTCCATACAAGCTTTGGTAAGACTAGTGTTATAATATGATTAAACGCTAGCATACAAGACTTACAATAGTTCGTCAAAGTGGAAACAAATGTGTTAGAGATACAGTAGATATGCCCTAAGATCGTCTTTATGGGATAAAGATTAGTTGATCTCATTAATTAAATCACATAGATAGATGATGCATATATAGATATGATCATTGAACCGACTCATTAGATAATTCCTAATGGTTAGAATTACCATAAACTGTCAATAGGATATTTCTTGAAGAATGTGATGTAAAAATTTCCTTTGACCTGAGATCGTCATAGTAATTGACAAGTTATTTATGGTGCTTTGATACTAGACACCTATGGCCCTAGGGCGATAGTTAAAAGGATATTGGGTATGATTAAATACTTGTAGAATTAGTGATTGATCAAGATGAAATTTGTCTTAACTCTTGGTAATGAGTTTAAGCTCCATGTTGTCATGAATTATAAACGACCAAACTAAGACCTTGGCCAGGGCAATTGAATGAAAGAAGAAATGAGTTTCTTAGGTCATTCAATGGTCGATTATATTTGACATGAACACATGGTTGGTCACCTATTTGGATTTGATAGTTGAAGCATATCCTTGGGTGACCCAGAGCTATAAGGACAGAAAGAATTACTACATTATTCTTCTACTGGTTCTTGAGAGTAAATTGTATACTTCATGTTATCCGGTCGTTAAGGAGTGTTGCTAGACACTACCCTTGATTAGTATATTGATGTGGTCAATTTACTACCAGTTTAGTATTGAACCTATAAGGTCGCACACAAACGAGTGTTCTGATCTTTGCTAGAGGATTAATTATTTTATTATTTGGTAATTAAATCAAGGAATTTAATTAGTCAAATACATTTAGTTATTAGTCCAAATGAAATATTATTATATTCTTTGCTAGCACAGAGGATATAATTAATATTGTGAATAAATTGAAGTTTTCTATTTGGAATAGAAAATTAAATTATATCTCTTGGTTAAAATATATATATTTGGTATATTTAATTAATATTTATTCATATAATATTAATATAAAAGGTTTATGAGTTAGAATCCAATTGTGAATTGGATAACTTTACGTGTAAAGTCCTAAAAAGGACGTTCGGCAAATTCAAACCCATTTGGAATGGGATTAATATTTTCTTTATATATGAAAAGTTCATAAATAAGAGAATCCAACTTTGAGTTGGAGGAAATACGTGAAGGACTCTGCAGTCACGTTTTCATTAGTTACGTGATTTTCTAATTTTCCATAAAATTCCATGAAGTTTATTTTTGGAATAAACTTTACCCCAAAAAAATCATTACCTCAACCAAATAGGAAAAGGGTTTATAGGTGATGTTATATAAAGGGTGATGGAACAAAATTCGTCATCATTAATTCTTGAGAAGAAAAAATACTTTGTGAAAGTGAGAGTGCCATACCAAGCCAAGAGAGAAAATACAAATACAAGAAAAGTATTTCTTGTTCTTCTAATTTGAGTTGAGATTTTTGAGAAAAATTTCAGCACAAGTTTTTCGTTCAATTTGTTCGCGGGTTTCGTTGATCAAAGAGTTGATAGCAAGGATCGGTCTCGGTGTGGATATGCATAGAGCCTTCACACTATCGAAGAAATTTTGAAACGAGACTATCTTCACCAGATACGTCTTAGATCCGATCTTTGACATGTAAATAAAATTTAAACATGAAAAGATCTGCCTAGGATTGTTATTGTCTTCCGCTGCGTAT